AATTTTTTAATGAAATTGAAAGTTACTTGTACGCACCCCAGTGTATTGTAATATACTTTTTATTATAATTTATTGAACTATTAATATAGAAATTCATTGAAAATTTTAAATTCATATCAAGAGAATCGAAATAATATAAATTCTTTTATCAATTTTATACTTTTTGGTTTCAATTTTAGGTTTCGAAAAAAATGTATACTCTGAAATTGAATACTTTTTAAATTTTAATTTAAAAAGTAGTAATATTTTAAAAGTAATATATTTAAAAAGTAATAAAAGTAATTAAATCCTAAAATACTAACTTTTTTCAAAATTGTGTAAATTTAATGCATTATTGCATTATTATTTTTTATCTTCTGATCTTTTAGGGACAAAACGCATTCGAAAAAAACACTTCTTTTGAAAACATCAAATTTCAATAATTCATCACTTTTGTAATTTTCATCAAATCTCAAAATAAAACAAGTATAAATTCTTCTCGAGACAGAATCAAAAAGAAATTATTCTAACCAAATCTAATTTTCAAATAAAAATCTTGTGGAGAAAGCCTCAAATAATTTTGAATTTTTTTATTATTAAAAAGTATTTTTTTTAAACAATGGTTATTTTGTGAGAAAGACAGAAATATTTATTTTAAAACTTATTGAATAATAAATTTATAATAGGTAATTATATTTTTTTATAAAAAAAACTTGAATGTTTTTCTAAAAAAAACTGCTAATTTTGTAAAAATATATTTAAAATACATAGTCAGGGTTGAGACAGGTCAAGGAAATAAGGGAATCCAGGGAAAATTCAGAGAATTTTATCAAAAATACTGGAAAAATATTTAATTTCTAGAATTCATAAGAAAATTCTGAATTTTGTTGTCCAACACAACAAGAAAAAAATGTTTTAATTATACTAAAGAGATTCACTCCAAGAGAAAAAAGTTAGTTTAAATAAAAATGTATATTTAAAAAAATGTTATTTGTTGCAAATGAATATTTTATTTAAAACAAATAAACTAATATTTATTTGAAACAGATGTAAGAAAAATTGCATATAAAAATAAAAATAAAATGTCTGTTTTTGAAAAAATTTCACACAAAGTATAAAGAGTGAAATTCTACTACAAATTGGATCACTTTTTACCCAAATGTGTAAAATTTAAAAAAACATTTAATTTAGATATAAAGAAAGAATAGATTAGATTAGAAAAAATACTAAAAGACAAAAGAAAATGTTACACTCTCCGAAGACATCAGGTACCTAAGAAGCAATGCATTTTAAGGTTAAGTTTATGCTATTTTTAACTTAATTAAAAGTTTCTGCGTGTTTAATTTATAACTAAAATTATTTTTTATTAATTATTTTAGATGTAATAAAGAACTATAAACATCAATGGTTTATATTGAGAGTTGATCATCTTTGTTTATTTTTATTCGAAAAATTACAAACATAACCTAAAGTCTGATTTCAACGAACTAAAATGTTTTTTCTTTTTAACTACCTTTCTTCATAGAGCGTCACAAATACTAAATTCTCTTTTTTTCTGTTGAAGAAGCTGCTAGAGGATCATCATAATCTTTCGAAGAGGATTTCTAACTGTGTTTCTTTTGCCAAACGAACAAAAAGGAAAAGAAATCCCACTTGTTTTTGTTCCAAAAAAAAAAAAAAAAAGTTTTTAGAAAATTGAATTGTACCATAAGAAATAGGAATTAAATTCAATTGTATCAGAAAATGAATCAAATCGAACTAAAAATCGAAATTAATTGAATTAAATTAAAATTGAATTGAATTCAATAAAAATTTAATTTCAACAGAATTGAAAATTAAATATTCAAAAACCGAGAATAAATAAGAAATAAAAATTATATAGAGATTAATTGCATAATCAAACAGAACAGTAGGGAGAAAACAAAAGAAAACTGTGTCACAATATTATTCTGAAGAAATTTTTTACAAGTTGAAATTATTTGTCAATATAAGAGGCACTTAAGGGTGTTGAACACTCAAGAACACCCTCTAGATTCCTTCTTCTGATTGCGTCAATTTATAAGCATACATGAATATAGAAGTACGACTTTTTTTCAATAATGATAATAATTTCCCTGTCTTCTTAAACTAACAATTTCGGTTGAAAATTGCTCGTAATATTTTATATTTGTATTACTGAATAATATCGTCAAAAAAATTATAATAATTCTAGGTATCAATGTCTTTATAATCACCAATAACAAGTAATATTTTTTTCCAAATCATTAAATCGCAAAATTCTCAAAAATTGTCTTCAAAATTAGATAAGTTTTAAAAGAGAATTAACAAAGCTGCAAAGCTTCATGATCTCGTTATAAGCTCACAAATCGTCGACCGACTGCGAGTTTATTAATAAACGTTGTGGAGAACACGTGCCCGCAGTGCTTCTGTTAGTCCTCTTTGTCGCCATATTGTTCGACCATTCGTATATATTTTGCAAAATTACTTTTATTTTCGAAAATTAAGACTTTTGTTCTCTTTTTCAAATTCTATTTTTTTAATTTTAAAAAAAAAAATCTATTCAAAAAATCTATTTAAAAAAATATAATTCGTTTTTTTTTTTAAAAAGAAGATTTATCCCTTTTTTCAAATTCTTTTTTTAAATTTATACAAAAAGATCTATTTAAAGAAATATTCCTAGTCAGCGTTGGAAACTATTATTATTAATTTAATTAATTACCTAATTAATATTAAAAGTAATTGAATAAAAAAATAACCGTTTTATTATAAAGGATTTTGAAAGCTTTTAAAAAACTACAAAAAAATATTTTCAAATAAATATTATCCATTTTTACACACGAAAGAATTTAATTTCGTCGAGAAAAATATTATATTATTAAAAATTCAAAAATTCATAATAAAAAAAAATTTGTGTAAAACTAAAAATAGAGCGAAATGTACAATATTCAGTGAATACTTGATCTTTCAATATTTTTAAATTAATTATTCTGTCTGATGTGCGATGCCAAATAACATTAAAGCAAAGGTGTCGCGTCAAGTGAACATCGTAAATTTTAACTAAACGATTGTGTCAACAATGAAGTCGAAATTATTTTAAATTGTATAATTTTGAATTCCATTATACTAATATGTATTTTTTTCAAAAAGTAATACCGAAATAAATTTTCTTATATAATTATCGAATTGGTTAATAATATCAATTTTTTACAAGAATTTTTTTTCCCCTCAATATTTCAATGTAAATATAGAACACAACTACCCTTTTGGTGACAGAAAAAAAAACGAAATACGATATTTTTTTGTCAACGTCTGAAAATAATTCTAAATCATAATTTCACGTTCCCATAGAATCCTCGCAGGCAAAAAAACTTGTCCCTTTTTTTGTATCGAGCTGCATTTTTTTTTCTTATTGTCATAACAATAAAGTCTTTCAGTTCAAAAACTTTGAAGAAAAAAGTACTTTTTAGGGTATTTTAAATTCTCAAGAATATGTAAATTAATTGAAAATTTTTAATTTCAAAATTTTCCAAAGTCGAATAGAAATTTTGGGAAAAAACTTGAAATAAATATTTGTTTTCCAAATATTTAAGTTAATTTTTTATTTATAAGGGGAATACATAATAAGCTTTTAATATTAACTAAGAAGTGCTTAAGGTTGGTCAGTGACTTTTTTTTATCTTCATAGATAACTTCTTTCCTTAGCACAAATATAAAACAATAAATTATCTATAATTATAATATATTGTTCTAAAATTACAGTTTGCAAATATTTTTAAGTATACACGAAAATTTGCCTTTTCAAGTATCAAACATACTCGAAACTATAATTTACAAATGAAAATTTATGTTCTTTTTTATAATTATACCACAAAGTAAAAATTAAATTTGTATTTTAATTTTCTTTAATTAATTTAATTTGATTCTATCTTTGAAAATTTGTGAAATATACGAATTAGGATTAAAATTAGCATTAAAATTAGTCTTAAAATCTAGAAATAAAATTAACATTAAAACAGCATTAAAATTATTAAAATTTTTGAAATTTTTAAAATTAGAATTAAAATTAGCATTAAAACTAGGATTAAAATTATAATCAACAAAAATAATTTATACAATAAATCGAAAATTCTCTACTATTTCGTTCTGCAAATGTATTTTCTCCCCTTACCGACAAAAGCATTAATTTACCCTTCCTCATCTGATAGAATCTCCCCATCATCCCTGATTTTATACACCCATATAAGATTCTTTGTTAGTTTTTTTTTTCGTCACAAGTATCTTATAGGCAGAGATTTGAATTTTGATAATAGAAACGAAAAACGTAATAACTAATAAAATAATGAATTCAAAAGTTGAAGTATAAAAAGAAATTTCTATTATAAAAGAGTAGAAAGTGAAAATATATCTTCGCGAACCTGTTACTTCATTTGCGAGGGAATTTTAAACCATAATTATAGTTCTATCCCCATTGAGTGAATCATGCAATAATATTGTGCAAATCCATGCAATTTTCTATAAATATAAAATTGCGATTCAATATTTTTCGAGCTGAGAATAAAATAAGAATGAGAAGAAAAAAAAAAAAAATTCTTGCGAACTGAATCTGAACTTCAATTTTCAATGTTTGATAATAGTGAAAGTTTTAAAGTTCAATAAATACTAAAAAAAAAAAATACAAAACAGAATTGAAAATTTAATAATTGTTAAGTTTTTTGAATTATAACGTAAATTTGTAAAAGGGATCAACTCCGAAGAACGTAAGAGTCATTTTCGCTTGCATTTTAATGCGAAAATGACTCTTACGCTTTTCGGAGTCGAGCTTTTTTCTAAATTTACGATTCAATTAAAAAAAAATTCAAAATAAACAACAAAGGGGGAAAAAATTCCGAAAAGTTTGCGGCTTTTAAAAAAAGCGGAAAGTGATCAAAAATATTTGAATTTAGATAAAAATTTCAATTTTTTTTTCCTATAAATCTAAACTTATAGTCAATTTTTAATATCAAGTAAAAAAGAAAACTTACATTTTCGTTTCTTCGATTTAAATGAACTTCACTTGGTTGAATTTATCCTTTTATAATCCAAAGATAAAGCACACGAAAGAAATGAAAATAAATAAAAGGAAATTTAATCACACTATTCAAGAAATGGCACAGAATTAACACAATAGTTGTTGTTGTTGTATTATATAAATATATGCAAAAAAAAAGAAGGAAAAAAGAAAAATAAATAAATAAAAATATAACCAGCAACAATGCACTCTCGTCGATGACCGGGTGAGCAAAATGAAGCCAATGCGTAATTTTCTCGATATATACTCCCTACGAATAAAATTTTCTGGCAGCGAGAGAGATAAGAATTAGAATTTTTCTTTTTAAGAACCGTGACGCAATATATACGACGTAAATTGTTTATTTAATTTTATATTTCTATTTTTGTACTTTGATTAAAAAAAAAACAATATTGTTGCACACTACCGGTAGCGACGATGGTCCACGTGCGAATGCCGCTTCAAGTTCGCGGCAACCGTTCCCGCTACGAAAGCGCTTCCTGTAAAGACCTCTCAAATCCCTTCTACGATTGGTTCAACACGACCCCCCACCATGATACTTGTATTTATTCCACCACACCGGTTGGGTCAGTGACGTACCCTTGCAGAAATTTTTAAAATTCAATTTTTATTTTGTATTTTTTAAATTGAAAAATAAATTTGCCAAAGTTTTGCTAATTTTTTCTTTTTACTTTCTATCGTTGTTTTTTTTCATTTTAAGGGGTAAATTTTGAACCAAGGGATGGATTTTTCTCTATTTTCTCAAGAAAAGAGATTTTTTGTATTTCTTTTGTATTTTTTTTTTGTATTCTTTGCATTTTTTTGTACTTTTTTGTATAAATTAAAGGCACTGGAACGTAATCGAAAAAATGACAACTAATAATGATTTTAAGTGTTAAAAAGAGAATTTTTCAACCAGTGAAAAAAGTATGTAATTTTTTTCCCAAAAAAGGTTTTTTTAAATTGTTTTGGATTTTTTTGTATTATTTAAATTCTTTTTTTACTTTTTGAAAGGCAATGGGAAATTTGTTTAAAAAAATACGTAATATAAATAATTTATTTTTGTGACAAATAAAATAAAATTTTTAACCAAAAGAAGATTTTTATATTTTTTCCCAAAAAAGGTTTATTTATTTATTTATTTATTTTTTTTGTATTTTTTTAAATTATTTGAAAAAAAATGCAAAAGATATCGTACAAATACATATAAATAATGATTTTCTATGACAAAAAAATAAAATTTTGAAGTAAAGAAAGATTTCTATAATTTTCTCCAAAAAAGGTTTTTTTGTACTTTTCTTGTAAATCTTGGATTTCTTGAGTTTTTTGTTTCTTTTAAGAGACAACAAAAAGTAAAAGATAAGAGCAAGTGCAAATAATATTTTTGCATACGTAAAATAAAATAAAATAAAATTTTAAACAAAAAAAAATAATATTTATACCCAAAAAGGGATTTTTTGTACTTTTCATGTATATATCTTGTACTTTTACTTTGTATTTATTTAATCAAGAAAAACATGTATAAATAATGAATTTATTTGTTAAAATAAGATTTTAAAACAAAGAAAGAAGATTTTTATATTTTTTTTCCAAAAGATGAGTTTTTCTTAAATTGTTTTGAATTTTTTAATATTTATTTCTATTTTTTCGAATTATTTGAAAGCCAATGGAAAATTTATCGAGTAAAATATGTAAAAATTCTGAATTTATATCATAAAAAAATAAAATTTTGAACCAAAGAAAGAAGATTTTCTCAATTTTTCCCCAAAGGGTTGTTTTTTGTACTTTTCTTGTAAATCTTGTATTTTTGTATATTTTTTGTATTGTTCAAATGTAATGGGAAATCGTAGAAGAAAATATGTACTAAAAATTATTGTATGTATCAATTACAATAAAATTTTTGAACCAATAAAAAATTTTGTTCCCTTATTCCAAAACAATGATTTTTGTATTTTTTTGTATTCCTTGTATTTATTCGTATTTTGTATTAATTAAAAAGTTTTCTATTATTTTGGTATTTTTTGTATTTTTTGAGAGTATTGGAAAATAATAGAAGAAAATATTTACTAAAAATGACTTTATCTGTCGAATAAAATCAAATTTTTGATCCAAAAACAATTTTCGTTATATTTATTTCTAAAAAAGGGTTTTGAATTTTTGATTGTTCTCTTGTATTTTTTAAATCGTTTTGTATTATTTAAAAGAGAACCAAAAGTTATCAAAAAATACGTATTTTAATAACAATTGTATATATGTAAAATAAAATAAAACTTTTGAAACAAAAAAGAGAATATTTTTAAATTTTTCTAAATAGAAATTTTTGCGCTGTATTTTATGTATTTCTTGTACTTTTTCAATATTTTTTCTTTGCATATATGTTTGTATTAGTTTGAAAGGCCAACGGAAAGTTATGGAAAAAAATACCTATTAATAACGGTTTTTCAAATATACTTAATGTATTTGTATTTTTTTCTTCAAATTACATTTAAGAGAGGGAAGAAAAACACATACGTTAAACGTCATAAAAATATAAATAAAGGGAATCGTTATTGAACCTAACACCTGTTATTAATTTTGTTAGCTTTCCATATATATACATATATATTGGAAATTAATTTCGTCAATGACCGAAATTGTTATTTCTAGTAAAGTGCGACGACTGTAATTTCTAATCTGTCAAAAAAATTTGATTAATGGTCGTTACATTTATTTAATAACATTTTTATTTCAATGAACGTTAAATTCGAAGTGTACACCTACTTAAATAATGTATCGAGTAAAATTATATAAATAATTTATCAAATGAAATCTTCCTTAAATGGATCATTGATTTTCTTCTCACTTGGAAACAATTTTAAAAATTAGCACTGCTACAACTACTAAAGTATTACTACTACAACAACTACTAAACTACTATTAACTTACTAATAAACTACTAATTATTTACTACAACTACTAAACTACGATTTAGTTACTAGTAGTAAATAATTACTTACTACAACTATTCAACTACTATTTAGTTACTAGTAGTAAATAATTAGTAGTAATTTATTAGTCTCTTTAGAAAATTACTACTAATTACTTATTACTAAACTATTAATTACTTACTACAACTATTAAACTACTATTTAGTTACTAGTAGTAAGTAATTAGTAGTAATTTTTTACTACTTAGTATTTAGTAGTAAAAAGTTTTTTAGTAGTATTTTTTTTTAGTAAATTAATTACTAAAACACTACTAAAGTAATGACTAGATTTCAAAATATAATTTTAAAAAAATAGTTAATAAAACCCTACTTAAAAAAATAGATTAACAAAGACTAAAAAAAAATAAATCAATAATTTTAATAACTTATAAAATTGTGAGAAATAATAAAAAAATTCCTAATTAGATCAAAAAATGAATAGAAAAGAATTAGTCTTTTTGCGGGAATATATTTTTGTCGAGGGAATGATTCTGAGTCCAAGAGACCAAAACGTTGCGCAGCTGGTCTCACACAGTTCTAAAAATTAAATTTAAATGACGAAGATTGGGAACATCCCCAACGAGTCAACGAGTAGAGGTGGTGGTCTTACAAGAAGCATCAGCTGTTCGAATATTATTATCATCGTTCAACTCGCCATTGCAGACATTCACCCGACTGAATTGTGAACCCCCCTCCCATCCCCTCTCTGTTAAGATAGACATATGTTCCTTTAAATTTTTTTCTATAGAAGGACCTTACACATATAGAAGAAACTCCTTCTTCTAATTCTAATTTTTCCTTCTGTTTATTCTGTAACATTCTCCATGGAAGACTTTCTATTTTAATTGATAGTATTTTTATTTTTTTCATATATTTTCCTTTTTTTTTATTTTCCTCAATTTTTCTTAAATTTTACTCAATAAAATTTTTAATTTAAAAAACAAAATTTTCTTAATTTTTAAATCTCGTTTAGAAAAAATACGAGTATTTGTATAAATAAAGAATGCTTTGCAATTCCGAAAAGGTGAAAAACGTTGTATTATGGTAAAAATATCCAAAAGACGTCAAATCATCAATTTTCTCCAAATTTTGTAAAAAGTTTTTTAATTCGTTTTTAAAAAATAAATATTTGAAAATTTGTTTAAAAATTATAAAAAGCAAGTTCCATATAATTTAAAATTCATCACTTGCGTTAGGATTTTTTTTAAAAAAGTAGTCGCAAAACTTTCTGGAACGTTTGAAAGAATTTTTCAGAAATCCCCAATTTTCCTCAAATTTAAGGAAGTTTTTTCAAACGTTTTTTAGTAAGAAGAATTTTTCGACCTGTACTTTATAATTCTATAGTGATCAAATTTAAAGTAAAAGAATTTTTATTATAAGGAAAAAGAATATTTAAAAGGCTGTTTTAATTACCAGTTGAAAAATCCTCAATTTTCCTCAAAAATTTGCAGAAACTGTAATATGCTTTTATTATAATTAAAAAAAGCAGTTTAGTACTTTTTTCAGTTCCAAGTCAATGTCCCTAAATATTATATACTTAAAAATGTTTTTGAATTAAATTCCAGAAAATCTCAATTTTCATCAAAAATTTGAAAGCAATCTTTACTTTCACTAAAAAAAGAAAGAATAAAATACTAAATTCTTTAAAATTTCAGTTAATAATTTCCATTAAATTTAATTTCTAGTTGCGGAAAAAAATATTTTAAAGTCGTTTCATGAACTCCTATTTCAGAAATTTTTTATTTTCTTCAAAAATTTACTGAAATTGTTAACGTTTGCTTTGTCAAAAATATTTTCTACTGATTTATAATTTAAGAGAAAGGAAATTTAGTGAAATTCAACTTTCAGTTACTATAGCATAAGTCTTTAAATAACTTTAAAAACAGTTTTTGAACTAAATTCCAGAAAATCTCTATTTTCATCAAAAATTTGAGGATAGTATTTACCTTCGATGAAAAAAGAATAGAAAATTCTATAAAATTTCAGTTGATAATTTAAATAAATTTTAATTTTCAGTAGCGTAGAAATATTTAAAAAACTAACTTCCAGAAAATCTCAATTTTCATCAAAAATTGGAAGGTCTGTATCTTCGCTGGAAAAAAAATAATAAATTCCAAAATTCTGCACAATTCCAATTAATAATGTCAATTTAATTTAATTTCCAGTTGTATATTCAAATATTTTAATATTCTAAAGTCGTTTCTTCATCTCATATTTCAGAAATCCTCAATTTTCCTCATAAATTTAGTGAAACTGTTTACGTTCACTTTAATAAAAATATTTTCTACTACTTTATAATTTAAAAGAAAGGAAAATTAGTAAAATTCAACTATCATTTACTTTAGTTTAAGTCTTTAAATATTTTTTTAAACAGTTTTTGAACTAAATTCCAGAAAATCTCAATTTTCATCAAAAACTTGAAGATAGATTTTATCTTCGCTGGAAAAAAACAAAAAATTCAAAAATTATTTTAAATTTTAGTTTATAATTTCCATAAAATTTAATTTTCAGTTGCATAGAA